AAGTCCTCTTTGCTCCACCTATTGATTCATCCCTCCTGCAACCCACAAATCCTTGACAACTAAAGATCTTTCTAGTGGCTCATGCTTTTGTCTTTTTCAGAATGTGATGTACTTGGAATCATATACTACATCGCCTTATCACATTGGCCTCTTTTCCTTAACAATATACTTTTAAGATTTCTCCATGTGTTTTCATGGCTTGATACCTCCTTTCTTATCACTGAGCAGTATTTCACCATATGAATACACCATTGATTGTTTTTTCTATTTGACTCTTGAAGGACATTTTGCTTAAAACTCTAACTCTTGCCAATTGTGAACAAAGCGCCTATAAACATTCATGTGTAGGTTTTGTGTGAACATAATGTTTCAGTTCATTTGGAAAAATACCAAGGAGTGTGATGGCTGGATCTTACTCTATGTAGTAACTCTGAATTTTGTTTTGAAAGGAAGTTCCTTGGACCGGCCCCGTGGCTTAGCGGTTAAGTGCGTGCGCCCCGCTACTGGCGGCCTGGGTTCGGATCCTGGGCGCGCACCGACGCACCGCTTCTCCACCCATGCTGAGGCCGCGTCCCACATACAGCAACTAGAAGAATGTGCAGCTATGACATACAGCTATCTACTGGGGCTTTGGGGAAAAAAAGGAGGAGGATTGGCAATAGATGTTAGCTCAGAGCTGGTCTTCTTCCTCAGCAAAAAGAGGAGGATTAGCACGGATGTTAGCTCAGGGCTGATCTTCCTCACAAAAAAAATAAAAAAAGAAAGTTCCTGCTTCTATTGTAAGTTACCAAATTCCATTTCCACCAACAATGAATGAGGATTACCTGTAGCTTCACATCTTCACCAATATTTTGTGTTCCGAGTGTTTTGAGTTTTAACTATTTAATAAGTGTTTAATGATCCCTCATTGTTGTTTCATTTGCAGTTTCCCATTTGCAAATGACATTTGCTGTGGAGCCTGTTTTCATACTGCTTTTTTCCCATCTATATATCTTCTTCAGTGAGTTGTCTGTTCAGATCTTTTGCCTATTTTTTAAATGGGATGTTTGTCTTCTGACTGTTGAGTTTTAAGTGTTCTTTGGATATTTCAGATACCAGTCATTTACCTGATAAGTGTTTTACAAAAATTTTCACTTTGTGAGTTGTGTTTTTATTCTTAACACTGTATTTCTCAGAGCAGTAGTTTTTCATTTTAATGAAAATGGCCGGAGAAGCAGTGTGTCGGTGCGCGCCCGGGATCCGAACCTAGGCCACCAGTAGCTGAGCGCGCGCAGTTAACCGCTAAGCCACGGGGCCGGCCCTATTTCCTTTAGTTCAAAATAAATTTTGATGGGCCGGCCCCATGGCTTAGCGGTTAAGTGCGTGCGCTCCGCTGCTGGGGGCCCGTGTTCGGATCCCGGGCGTGCACCGGGGCACCGCTTCTCCAGCCATGCTGGGGCCGAGTCCCACATACAGCAACTAGAAGATGTGCAGCTATGACATACAACTATCTACTGGGGCTTTGGGGGGAAAAAAATAAATAAATAAAATCTTTAAAAAAAAAAAACAAAAATTTTGATTTCTCTTGAGACTTCTTTGATCCTATGTATTATTTAGAAGTGTGTTATTTAATCTCCACCTATGTGAGGTTTTCCAACAATCTTGATATTATTCACTTCTGGATGAATGTCTAGGTGGTGTGAGAGCATATTTTGTATGAGTTCTGTTTTTTCAAACTTGATTAGGTGTGCTTTATATCCCAGAATATGATTTGTCTTGGAGAATATTCCATGTGAACCTGAGAAGAATGTATATTCTGCTGTTGTGTATGAAGTATTCCACAGATTATAATGAAATCCAGTTGTTTCCCAGGGCTGTTCAGTTCATCTCTGTCCTTCCTCATTTCCTGCCTACTGGAATTTATAATTTGTGATAAGGGGATGTTGAATTCTTCAGCTGTAGTACTGGGTTCATCTATTTCTCCTTGCATTCTCTCAGTTCTTGCCTCGTGTATTTTGCCCCTCTGTTGTTATGCAGGTAGACGTGAAACATTGCTGTGCCTTCTTGGAGACTAGACCCCTTTATCAGTGTCTAATGTCCGTCTCTATCTCTGCATTGTCTATAATTCATATACCTATGGCGGCTTTCTTTTTCTTAGTGTTGGCATTGGTTATTTTTCTCCATCCCTTTACCCTTCATCTATCAGTGTATATTTAAAGTGGGTTTCTTGTAGACAATGTGTAATTGTGTTCTTTGAAATCTGATATTACTATGTTTCAATTGTATTGATACCATTGATAATTAAAGCTGTTATTGATAAAGCTGGGTTAATATTTTTGAAGTCTTGGACTGTTTTCTATTTTTTGTCCTTTTTTTTTCTGTCTGTCTTGCACCTTTTTTCTGTGTTCTCTGGCTGAAATTGAGCATTTTCTCTGATTGTTTTCTTCTTGTGTCTTAGAATATCAGTTACATATTTTTGAAAAGCATTTTCTAGTGGTTGCCCTTGAGTTGTCAGTATACATTTACAAATAACGCACCTCCTCTGCCAAATAACATTATACCACTTCACTGTTGTGCAAGTACCTCTTAACCCACTGTCCCCAATTTCCCCTTCCTGTTTCTTTGTCGTTTATTTCACTTGTCCATAAGCTTCTCATTACCACATACATTGTTGCTAATATTATTGTAAACAAAGTGTCATTTGTTACATTATTTATAAGAAATATGAAAGAAATTTTACCTTTATTTTTTCTCTTTCTAAACCTCTAACTTTGGGGCTGGCCCCGTGGCTTAGCGGTTAAGTGCGCGAGCTCCGCTGCTGGCGGCCCGGGTTCGGATCCAGGGCGTGCACCGACGCACCGCTTCTCCACCCATGCTGAGGCCGCATCACACATACAGCAACTAGAAGGATGTGCAGCTATGACATACAACTATCCACTGGGGCTTTGGGGAAAAAAAAAAAAAGGAGGAGGATTGGCAATAGATGTTAGCTCAGAGCTGGTCTTCCTCAGCAAAAAGAGCATTAGCATGGATGTTAGCTCAGGGCTGATCTTCCTCACCAAAAAATAAATAAATAAAAATAAGCCTCTAACTTTGTCATTTACATTCTTACTGATAGATTTTTGAACGTTTTGTTCAAAGTGGATGACAAATTACTCATGACAAATTTCCTCAATATTTGTCTCAGAAAATTCCTTATTTCTCCTTTTTTGTTGAAGAATTTTTCTTGACAGAGAATTCTGGGGGAGTGTTTTTTTTTTTTATTTTCAAAATTTTAAATATTTTACTCTACTCTGTTCTTGCGGGCATTGCTTTTGAAAAGAAGTCCAGTTTAATTCCAATCTTTGTTTCTTTATACCCAAGATGTTTCTTCTCTGACATTTCTCAATATATTCCCTGTCTTTGATTTTTCTAGGGTTTGAATATGATATCATGGGGGTGTGCGCTATTGCAGTTTATCGTGTTTAGTGTTCTCTGAGATTTCTGGGTGTGTGGTTTTCTGGCTATCATTAATTTTAGGATATTTTTGTGATTATTACTTCACTTGTTTCTTCTGTTTATTTCTGTCTGTTGTTTCTTTCAGATATTCCCATTATGTGTACTTTATACCGTCTATTAAAGAGGATTGTCCTAGGCTTCATGGGAACTGTGTTTGTATTTTTTGTTCTTTTTGTCTTTGCATCGGGCTCTGGTGAAACAGATAATTTGTGTAGTACAGGCCTTGTTAAGTAAAGTATCTGAGTTACATTTCAAAATGCCATCTATTTTCATCTTTTTCCTAATTTTGGAGACACTGGTTTGCCCTATGATCTCAAGGCTTTCATGGATCTAAGAAGAGTTGTACATTTCAATGTTGTTCATTTTCGTCTTGTGAGATCAAGAATGACTGCTTCTAAGTGCCTTAAGTGTGGGATCAGAAGTTGGCAGGGCATCATCTAGAGTGTCTGGTCAGGAAACACATCCTGTTGAAGTTGAAGAATGGAGATTTTATGTTCTTTGGAGGAAAGCACTGTGAAATCTTTCACGTATTGTATAATAATCAGCAAATTGACTGTCAAACCATTGTGGACTTCAGTGAACTCCCTTACAATCTGTAGCTCTTAACCTGCCCCTCAAGGCCAGCAAGGCTCAAGGTGCACTGTTAAGGTTGGACTGGAAAGAGCTGTTCTGGCACATTGTTATCTCACTGTGGTTTGTAAATATTGGCAGGACGTAGCCCTGAGGCACCTGAGTATAGGGATTTTATGGTCTAATTTGTCAAGCCTTCTTCCTTGTGTCTGAGCTCTAAGTTCAAAATAAATTTCTATCCCCACCAAATTACAGAGAGAGAGAAAAGAAGAACTGAGTCTATGATAAATATTACGCGTTAAAAGTGATGCTTCCCTGTAAGAATGTTTACATTCACCAGCTGCATCTGATCCCTTGTAATGAACTGGAGGAATTTAGGACAGTGTAACCAGTTGGGCTTCATTGTAAGTCGGATTTCTACAGGCCTCCTTGATTCTCTTGTTGGTGATGGGAGTACAGAAAAAGCTTCCAGTTCTTCACTATGTTTTTAATCCATTGAAACCTCATGCAGATTTGACCCTCTGCCTCATGGAGTGCTGTGACTGGTGGGTAATAAGGAAGAAGATGAAAGAATTTTTCTCACAAGGAATCATCAGTCTTAAAATGTTATTTGCTTTATTTCTATAACATTTGGGTCATATCCTAACATGCTCTGTACCCTGCCATTACAGAGAAATATGATGTACTGTGATCACAGTAAAAATATGTAAATAATTTCCATGTGTCAAAATACTGTCAAATTGATGAGGATGTCTGTACAGAAAATGAGTGACTTTTTGATGATCACAACATAGAATAAATGGAGATGACAGAATCCTATGCAACCTTCCCACAAATGGAGTATAGATCCCCAGTGCTGTCAGCCTTATGCATCCTACTCTACACATGTTTGTGATCTTTTAGGATTCAGTGGCCATTGAGGATGTGGCTGTGAACTTCACCCCAGAGGAGTGGGCCTTACTGGATCCTTCACAGAAGAAACTCTACAGAGATGTGATGTGCGAAACCTTCAGGAACCTGGCCTCAATAGGTAAGAATAAGGACATTCCTTCCCTTCATCAAGTAGAGAACAAGTGTTTCTTGCCCATCAACATGGTTCCAATGTGTAGAATTTGGAAACAGAGGATGTTGGTAAATAAACTAGAAATGGTCATAGCTCATCATGGACTTAAAGCTAATTTTTTTCCTATAATTTCCAATGCTTGGGAATCATCTTTCTGGGTCTGCATTTCAGGAAAAATATGGGAAGATCATGATATTGAAGATCAGTATGAAAGCCAGGAGAGAAAACAGAGGTGAGTCACACTCACAACAGAAAGCAGTGTCTGATGTAAGAATTCTGGTTTGAATTTTTTTTTTTTTTTTTTTTTGTGAGGAAGACCAGCCCTGAGCTAACATCCGATGCCAATTCTCCTCTTTTTTGCTGAGGAAGACTGGCCATCGGCTAACATTCGTACCCATCTTCCTTCACTTTATATGGGACGCCGCCACAGCATGGCTTAACAAGCGGTGCGTCGGTGTGCACCCGGGACCCGAACTGGCGAACCCCAGGCCGCTGCAGCAGAGTGCACGCATTTAACCACTTGCGCCACCAGGCCTGCCCCTGGTATGAATTTTTAAAGGGAAGCAAAGAAAACAGATAACCCTTGCTTCAAATTTAGCCATTCTTAGAAAATTATCACTAAATATACTTTCTGAAATGTGATGTAGAGGATAAGTTTTTGCAAAATAGTTCACTTGGAAACAGGATTAATAAACTCTATATAGGAATGTCACTGTTTTGGTAATATGAAGGGTTAAAGCCTCTTGTAAAGCATTCATTATATTTAATTTCTGAGACTTGAGACAAGACAGAAATCCTAAACTTTTCCTATGAATCATGATAAATATAACGGACAGAAAATCATTTATAATGTGCTTCTTATTTCTTACAGTGGTCATATAGCAAGGAGACTCTGTGAAAGTTTAGAGGGTAGTCAACGTGGAGATAAATTCAGCCTTACTCCAAATCTCAATCTGAACAACAAAACTCCAGGAGCTAAACCATGTGAAAGCAGCTCATGTGGAAACATCTTTCACCGTTCGTCTCTTAAAACACACATTCAATGTCACACTGAACACAAGCTATATGACAGTCAGAAATATAGAGAGAAGTCATGTAAATGTAAGGAATGTAGGAAAGCCTTCACTTTCTCCAGTGGTCTTCAAAGACATGAAAGAATTCATACTGGAACGAAACCCTATGAATGTAAAAAATGCAGTAAAACATTCATTTTTCCCTGTTATCTTCAATTACACGAACTATTTCATCCTGGAGAGAAATCCTATGAATGTAAAAAATGCAATAAAGCATTCTCTTGTTCCCGTTCTCTTCGAAGACATGAAAGAATTCATACTGGAGAGAAACCCTATGAATGTAAAAATTGCAGTAAAGCATTCACTTCTTCCTGTTCTCTTCGA